ACGGAGTGGATGCGGGGAGCATCTAGGAGAAGTTGATGGGGAGAGAAAAGAATCTAATCAGAATCTAGTATATAAAAAGTCAATAAAATATTAAAATATGGATGTTACCTTTAAAATACAGTTTATATGAGGTAAAATCTAAACTTTCTCTTTGACTCCTTTAGTCCAAATCCAGGAGCCTCCCCAGCAGGTTACCACTCAGGAGCTAGGACGAGGTACCAAACCTAAAAGGATGTCTGAAAAGTGTTCCATCAACCAAATTAGGAAACCAAAAGCAACGAAAGCGTTTCATTTCCACCGGTATCCCACCGCCATACTTGTTTTTTGAACCAGGGTCACACATAGTCCAGACCAGCCTTGAACTGGCGACCTGCTTGAGACAACTGGCCTTGTGCCCTTGACCTTCAGGGTTCCACCTCCCAATTGCTGAAACAATTGCTGTGTCTGTGTCGGCACACCTGGCTTATCCTCTTATTTCAGGGGGATAGTTCCCCTACCTTTCCTTGATCTATACAATAATATGATTTCCAAACACTGGTCGTGAAGTAACAGAATCTCATAGCTGTTCAGAATAAACAATATACTTGGGTTTACTGAGTTTGGGGTTGTTGTTGGGTGTTGTGTGTGTGTGTGTGCACGTGTGAAATTGAACTGATTTATAATTGATTCTATGCTGTAATTCTTTTCCCTCTCGCACTCCAGAGTGTGTTTGAGCAGAGCCTACCACCCACTGAAGAAATGGCATCGATTATTGAGCACAGAATCTGTTTTCAGCCCTGTAAGTCATAATTCTCTAGACTCAGAGCTTTCGTTTCTAAAATAGAACCAGGTTTCCATCCTGTCCATTTCCACAGAGATCACCTTCAGAGCTCGAACTAATGCGTTCCTGTTTTGTTGAGTTGGCATTTAGTCTGATGACTCCTCAAATATCCAGTCTCCTCTGGGTTTAAAGCTGAAAATTTGTAACATGCAGCAGTATTGCCAGTTCTGGGGGCTCACTTTTGCTCCCTGAGATCCAAGAGACAGCCTGCTTGAGGAGGTTTTCCATCGCCTTTGGCTGGGGATGGGGCAGAGTTCCCCCAGCTAAGGGCGTGTGTGTATCAGAAACGTGGCACACCACAAGGGCAGTGTCACGTGACTTCCCGAGCCTGGTTTAGAGCCATGGAAAAGCCAGTAAAGAAGCCCCAAACTAGGAAAACCCGAGAGGGAAGAGGACGTGAGTTCTCGGGAATCTTACCACCTAAGGGGCTCAGGAAAACTTTACCTATAGGAATAAGAATCGCTGTATACAGTCATAACTCAACTGAACTGAAACATTGTTGAGAAAATGATGATTTAACCCCAGGTGGGGAGATGACTCGGTGCTTGCCTTGGAAGCGCGGAGTTCGGTCGCAAGCGTCCACATGAAAATATGCTGGATATGATGTCTCATGTTCCTAATCCCAGGGCTAGAGAGGTGGAGACATGTGGCTCCCTGGGGCTAGTCAGCCTGGTCTACTGGGAAAGTTCTAGACCACTGAGAGGCTCGGTCTCAAAGCAAAACAGATGGATAGTACAAAATAATCATATGAGGGTTTTCTTTTCCTTTCCTTTTCTTCTTCTTTCTTTCTTCCTTTCTTTATTTTATTTATTTATTTTTTTCCGAAACAGGGTTTCTTTGTGTAGCCCTGGCTGTCCTGGAACTCTCTCTGTAGACCAGGCTGGCCTCTAACTCACAGAGATCCACCTGCCTTTGTCTCCCGAGAGCTGAGATTAAAGGTGTGTACCGCCACCGACCAGCTTCCATATGAGTTTTTAAGCTTTAAAGCTTTTTTCTTTTATGGCGTTTTGTATTATTTAAGTTTTGACTTTAGTCGTGTCTATCTGTCTGTGTCTCATGACTTGTTTACGTAGGGATGGATGTCCTACCGCATCTGTTCTTGATGTTCTGTAACAGAAAAACCACAGCCTGATGGGAGCCGTGATGGTGTTTACCGAGCACCCAGTAACAACGCGTACGCTGCCCGGCAAAGCACGCTAGCCCCTGGTTCTCAGTTACGACTGCTGTAAAATATGCTGAGTTTAGGGGACCACCATACACCTATTAGGAGGTGCAGCAGGGAGGTAGAGAGCCTGCACTGTGTCTCTTTTGTACACATGAGGGTTTAAATAAACTTATACTCCCTGGGGCTCCCCAGTCCTGAAAGCCTTTGCAAGTGCGATTGCAGGTCTATCCTTTTCATGACAGCTCAAATATAAGATACAAAATACTGTGTCTATGCTTTCTGCATATTCACAAATTCCCCAAGATACTCACAGCTGGGAAATAGTGAGGAAAAGTGATAACCAAACAATAATAATATCCAATATCAGCAGTTGGAGCCCCAGTGTTACGATCAGTTATTCACAATTATTAAATGAATATTCATTACTTACAGAAATGAGGTTAGGAACAAAGGAATAAGGGCAGAAAAGTAAAAAACACCTACAACTGTTAGGACTGTAAAGCACTTTCAGTTTGACAACATTGGTCAAATGCACATGCAATTTAATAATTCTTTAATTTTTTAGTTATATGGATTTCTTCCATTTTATATATTCTTAAGGGTTTTAGGGAGAGGGATTTGTCCATTTGTTTGTTTTTTGCTTGTTTGTTTGTTTGGTTTTTTGAGACAGAGTCTAATTTATTAGCCAAGGTTGTCCTGGAACTTACAGAATTGCCCAGGCTAGGCTTGAACTCATGGCAAGTCTCCTTTCAGCTTCCCAAATGATAGAATTACGGGCATGACCCACCAGGCGTAGCCTAGTCTTGATGGTTCAGATATTTTATTTTCCATGTTTCTCTACAAAAACACTTTTTCCTATTATTCTCTTTAAGCTCACAGCGCAATGACAGGCACACGAGTTACTTCCGAAAGCTGAAAGGGTTCCAGGAAACGGCCCTTAGATTAATTATTCTACCACCCAAGGAACTCGGGTGAACATTCCCTTTTAAGGAAGAAAACATGCATTGTTCTCAATCCGAAAGTAACCACTCAAATAATTCAAAGTTTTCCTTGTTAACCATGGCGAAAACATGGTAAACCCACGCGTTGTGGTTTTTCACTACACTGCATTATCACACACATCATGATTCTCTGTGAACTTCTAAAACATTCACCCCACAATACACCACACACATATACTACACACAAACACACACCCCTAGATACACATGCATACCACATACATACCATTCACACGCCCACAAATATACATACGTGCGTGTGCTTACACATATATACACCACCTGCATGCACACCACATACATATCACATACATAACACACACATGCATACAAATATGCATACACCCTAGGTACACATGCACATACACACACACACACACACACGTGTTGCTTTTAATGGGAGAACAGTCTCAATTACTCTCAGACAAACAGGATTCTTGTTTACATTCCTATCTGCCCCAGAGTGTGGCTTCATAAGAATTTATTCTTCATTTCATGCGCAAAAGGCTGCCCTAATCTCCCTCTTTGGCGACTGGACTATGTCCAGAGCTTTTCAGTAGAAAGGGGCTTTTCTTCCTTGATCCCGAGCCAGAGCTGAAATGAATCTTACGGGACTTAAACAGCCCAACGTCTTCACGCCACCACCGAAGTCTCCTTCACAGGGGTACTTTGGGCGGCAGGTGGAGTTATAATTATAGAGTAGAAAAAAGCAGCATCAGCAGCTGTCACTTCTGTTTGTCCCCAGCTATAACTGTCACCAGTGGGCAAACTGGCATAAACAGGTCTCTGCAAGTGGAAAAACATTTAACCCCGGACTCGCTACTCGCCGGAATCCCACGGCAGCCAGAGGACAGGCGGAAACCTGCCGGTCCACGAGTGAAGGGTGCAAGCCGAGCAGCGACCTGAAGGCGCCTCTTCAGGGAGAGCCTGACATTTGAAGATTCCCTTCCCGTGGGAGACTCGGAAGAAGCAGGTTAGTGCGCCATCGGGTTACGCACTTGAGTGGTGACCTTGGTGCTCTGTGGGTTTCGGGGTCTTGTCAGAGCCTAATAGAAGGGTGGAGGAGCAAACGGAAGAAAGGAAAGGTGGCTAGAGACTGTTATTCAACCCAGCCTGCCCGGAGAGCAGCTGATGACATTTGGTTTCGTTTGCTGTGTCCCTCTCTCTGTCATCGGTGCTCTCCTCAGGCAAAGAGACAAGGGAGCAATGGAAGAGGAAAGCGTGTTTTGTGCCAGGCGTCCCAATCTTTTGTAGGGCCACTGCCTTCGGCAAAAGGCCTTGGTTTGGTTTTTAACTAAAATCAATAATGTTGAAGGCTAAATTAGTGATTTTGCTGTGGTTGCTGCTGTGTATACAGCAGCCAGCTCTTATTTCCTTAGAGAAAACAGAGAAGTTACAGTTGGGTGTGTGCCTATCTGAACCAAACATTTTCTTACTTGTGATAGAATGTCTGCTACAGGTTCTCTATAGGGAAAATATGCTATGGGTTTTGTGTGTGTGTGTGTTTTATAATTTGACTTAAAAACTACATGTTCTCAGTGTAAGTTGCTCTGTGAGAAGTGCCTCATAGTTCCACTGGAGAAAAGTTCCTATTTTAAAGAAATCTCATTTCATCCACATGTGACCTATGCTAGCCAGTAACTGAACAAGATTTTATATATATATATATACATATATATATATACACACACACATATATATATATATATATACATATATATCAGCTTTGAGATAGCTCAAAGTTCAATAACACATCTCAGTTAGAAGCAATGGCAAAGCAGAGAGCTCTGGGAAAACCAGGCTTCGGGGTCCATCCCCATCCTGACTGCATTCATGGCTCAGATCCAGTACAAGGAGTCCTAGATTATGGACTCTCTGGGGATGGAGCTCAGGTGGTGGAGTGCTTGCCTCCCTCCTCCACAAGACTCAGGCCCTAGGAAACCACGCACAGTGGCTTAGTCCTACAATTTCAGCACTCACTCAAAAGGTGGACGAAAAGCTCAAGGTCATCCTTGGCTCACTACCACATTCAAGGTCACAGTCTAAAAAAAAAAAAAAGACTATTTTGTTCAGCTCTGAGCAGAAAGCCAGCCACCTTTAAGGATCTCGCTGAGACTTTCCGAAGGGAAAATGCTGCATTTTAACTGCAGGGTTGCTCAGCACATGTTCTCCTTTTGAAAGGGACAGAATTCCAACTGTGCATCCAGAGGCCACATCCCACCCAGTAAGACTAGCTATATAGTCACCCATCAGCGAAAGTGCTCCAATGGCCCGGCTTCTTCTTCACAGTAGCTCCTGCTTTCAAAGAAGTGGGCCGTGGCTTTTTCCTCTTAGGAAGTTTAAAGATGAACCCAATACCTCTTTACAGATTTTTGCGGACACAGCCCCGACCAACGAGTATGGGCACCGACTTCAAAAAGCATTAGTTGTGCAAACAAGTTTCCTAAATCCTCTTACTGTTAAGAAGCAGCATTGCGATGTGTCTCGTGTACTGCATGTGTTAATTCGGTATTTATTGAGCGATAGCTATAGACTCTAAAATAAGATTTAACAATTGCAGAAATCTCGGGGCTTTTAGGAACTCTCTTTCCGGAAACCACCTTCCTCCCCTTCTGCACTTCAAGGTTTAGTACTGAGGTTCTAGACGGTGAGGTGGTGGTATCTATGAGTTCTATGTAAAAGGGAGTGGGGGAAAGCCGGGAGGTGGGTCGGCTAATCAGTTGCCGGCTTTCTTCTCCTTTGATTAGAAAAAGCGCGCGCGCGTGCCAGTGCTGACGTCAACCGTATTTTTCACCCCTGTTTTTGTCTTCTTGTTCTTCTAGAACAAAACTATCCGAGATGACTGTCACTTACTCCAGTAAAGTAGCAAATGCCACCTTTTTTGGATTTCATAGGCTGCTCCTCAAGTGGAGAGGGAGCATCTACAAGCTCCTATACAGGGAATTTGTTGTTTTTGCCCTTCTTTACACAGCAATCAGTTTGGTGTACAGGTACTTTTGCTTTGCATGTCTCCTTAACCGGCCCTCAGATGTTACGTAAGAATAGTCTCAAAAGTCGGATCCCCTTGGTTGCCGCTGGCCTTCGCAATTATGTAACCTCTCCCTCTGCATGAACTTCTCTGTCATTTTCTCTTCGGGACACGGTATTTTAATCCACACCTAACCATGTATTAGAAGTAAGCAACCGACAGAGACAAAGGGGCTCGCATTCCAGCCCCACAGGAACTGGTCCTGATCAGGTGTTAGCCATTTTGTTTTGGGCGTAAATAGAAAGATTTATGCTTACACCCTCACCGTGAGACGATTAACAGCGAAGCCCACAGACAAATATTTTCGTGCAGCGATGTCATTCAGAGTCTGGACTTGTGGCCTGACAGCTTGTTGCAGGTCCATATGGAGCTAACATCCGGGGGAATAGAATCTACCAGGCAGCTTGCCTTCCTTTAGTCTGACCCAGGACGCTGACCTCAAACCTTCCCAGTGCCTCGACAAAAGAATTAAGGCCCGAAGAATTATCTGTTCTCTTATGTCTTCTGATTTCAGGATGTCAGTGTCGCAAAAGGAGGTGTTTGTTCTTTATAATGTCAAGATGTGTTCATGTCAGGTTGAGAGACACTTTGAGGTCTAGCATATCTGCCTCTCAACAACTGAAAATTGCAGTCTTAATAAAATTTCATCAGTATGCTAACGCAGCAGCTTTATGGATCATTAAACTAAATTTGAATCATTAGAGGAAGCAATAGGAAAATGTGAGGTTTTGAGGCTGCATTTGCACCTTAGCTAGAAATGGGTTTTTTTTCTTCTACCACAGATGAACAAACTGAGTCATCATCTCACCTACATCTTCCTTGCAGCCACTAAACTTTATCCAGGAAAGGGATGCTCGCTTAGCTGGCTGAGCATTGCCCAAGTAAAACGTGAGCAGCTACTTTGTTACCTGACAAAACCTCCATGCTAGGGCTGAGGATGTAGCTAGCTCAGGTGCTTGCCTAGCCTGCACTAAGTCCTGGGTTCATTCTCTACATCACATAAAGCCAGGCATGCTGGCACAACCCTGTAATCATCCCAGGATGGAGGAGGTGGAGACAGGAGGATCCAAAGTTCAAGATAATCCTTGGCTACTAGCGTTACAAGAGACCCCATCCCCAAAATAAAACACTATTATTCCAAACAAGTGTGCCTGCTAGGATGGATTTTGTGGGGCTGGGGATTTAGCTCAATGATAGAATGATAGATGAACAAGTGTTAGGTCCTAGGTTCAGCCCCCAGTTCAAAATAACCAAAACAAACAAACAAACAAAAAAACGCCAAGGCAAAAATCACAAGACTACATTTCGCCAAATGTCCTTAGAGACTTCTAATATTTTTCAGATATCTTATTTACTATCTCAACAGTTTGGTCACGTGACACACAAACCCTCAGACTATGACAGATTAGCAAGCAGTGTTCCAGGACAGCTGTCTCATTAGTTTATTCTTACTAATGTGAGTTGAGTGTTGCTACTGCTGCTTAGAATAGACAAAGCCCTGAGAACAGTTGCTGTGTTGCCAAAAATGCTCCCTGGGGTCTCAACGTTTGTGCCAATATTAAACTCATACCCCTTCCCCGAAAGTCTACACAGATTTTTGTCTTTCGAAAAATCAGAGTGTATACATTTGTAACAATCACTCTAACTTATCTTCTCCTTCTTTTTCAAAAGTCTCATTGTAAATTCTTGAAAAAGTAGATTTTTTAAATTTTATTTATTTCATGTGTATTGGTGTTTTTGCCTGCATGTATGTCTGTGCGAGGGTGTCAGGTCCGCTGGAACTGGAGTTACAGTTGTGAGCCACCATCTGGGTGCTGGGAATTGAACCCGGGCCCTCGGGAAGAGCTACCAGTGTTCTTAACTACTGAGCCATCTCTCCAGCCCAAGTAGACCCTTTCTATCATAAGGATTTACCAAGAACTGTTAGATTAATAAGTCAAGAAAGTCGAGCAGACCTGTGGGAAACATAAGCAGAGTTCGTTCTTGTGCCTACGATAGACTTTGATTCTGCCTCTTCCGGTTTGGAGGAATTTGATAAAATGATCTCTGTGGTATTTTTCTAGCTAAGAAAAATTCTGTGTCTACTATTCATATTTCTTTGGCCAATTCGTATTAATACCACCCATTTTGGTGCTGTGTTTGAAGACATATGCTTTAAAAATTATTTATATAATTGTTTTTTTTTAAATCTCTACAACACTATAAATTGAAAAAACTGTGACTCCTAGAGCCTTGGGCAGTGCACCCGGCCTACATCTACGGCAGCCCTGTGCTGTGCCCGGGATGGGCCTAACTGATCCTAAGAGCTACACTTTCTACTCTTAATACTCTTTGACCATTTCTAAGTTTTAGAATAGAAAATCCGGAATCAGAAAGCCACTTTGTCTGTGACTTGTCACCAGCATGACCCTCACTGGCCTGTGAGTCCAGTCGGTGCCTCTCTCAGCATTTTCCCTGATTCCACGAACTTTATCACCTCATCCAAAGCCGAGACAGGACCTCCACACAGCCCGGGACCCCAAACTCTTTCTCCACCAGTGCCGATTCCAGACTGTGTTCCACCTGCAGCCCCCTTGGCTGGACACGGCTCCTCTGCTTCTCTGTTGACATTATACCCAAGGGAAGTTTCAGTACTAATTCCGATGAATCTTCCCTTAGATTTCCTCATCCTTTAGATGACTGCACTTTTGATCGATGCAGATTCATATGTGGCTTCTCTCCCCACGTTTTGGTAATGATTATTAGCCTGCCTAAAGAGATTTCTTCGGGCTCTGAATTCCCTCCCTAAGACATAACGGTCTCGTTATGGGCAGGTGTGTTTAGCAATCTCAGAAAATGAGTTTGGGGAGGTTAAGTCAGATCTACAAGAAAAGTTCTGAAGTGGTGGCCAAAGGTAACCACGTTTCCACCTTTAATATTAAATCAGCATTATTTATATTCCAAATAATTATGGGTGTTTAAGTAAAGAATTATAATATTACTTGACGTGGGGTTTGCACAATCCAGAATGTGCTAATTTACTTAATTTAATTAATTAACACCTTCTGGATTAAGATCAAGATGTCTAATGCTGTTAATCAATAATGACTTAATAACTCTGAGCCACCAAATCAATACTCTCTCTTTTTTAAGCATTCTGATGAATAATTGAAAAGCGGAAATCGGGTCTGGTGGGCTAGCCAGTAACCCCAGCTACTTGGGTGGCTGAGGCAGGAGAATTACACGTTCAAGACCTACTTGGTCTACAGGGTGAGCTCCAGCCAGCTTGGGCCACTTAAGTGAGACCCTGTCTCGAAAATAAAAAAGAACAGATCGGGCTGGAATTCGGTGAGATTGTCTGCCTGGCACCTGTGCTGCCCTAGCTTGAAATCTCAGTACAAAAACAAAAACAAAAAACTCCTTTGTAACATATCTTTCTCCAAAATCCAATGAGTCAATTATATAAAACTTCAAAATTATAAAGTTTTAAAAAACAAAAAATAATGAATTCTTTATTTAACAGCTGACAGATTTATGTGCTTAGAAACTTGAATACTTGAAGCACAAAGCAATTTTAAAAAAACATTAGAGACACATCTGTTTAAGGACAAAGGAACAAAATCATAGAGTTCCTCTAAGCAAAAACAAACCAACCTGAGATTATTTGTGCTTAACTGTTTGCACTTGATGTCGCCTGCAGCGCAGGTGCGGACGTGCCATATCGTAAAGGGCTGTGCGTTTTATTTTTGCTCCAGATTGTTACTTACAGGAGCCCAAAAACGTTACTTTGAAAAATTATCAATTTACTGTGACAGATATGCTGAACAAATTCCAGTAACCTTTGTGCTTGGTAAGTATAGGTCCCACGCAGAATGCAGCCACACAGCTGTCTCCGTTAGATGACACAGGACTGCATGAGGGTGCTTCCGGGCTGAGCGGCATGCGGGGGAGAGCCGCCGCTTGCAATGGCACACGGCCGGTCCCTAAGGTTTGCCTTCAGGGCTGCTTCTGCTAAATTAACATCGAACAGTTTGAGGTCATAATCTGCTATCGGACAAAGCTTTCTCTTCACTAACCCTCCATTTTTGCAGCCAATATTACAGTTCTAATCCCCGCTTACTGGGTGCCCTGACCTTGTCAGACACCTACGACATTTCCTCCCCTCTTGGAGGGCAAGACCGTAAGGTTTGGATGATACCATCCTTCCAGATCTCGAACCCCTAAAAAGGCTAAAAATTCTGCTGAGAGTGTGTCCGTGGAGATGTCTCCTGTGGGAAAGTGCATGACGGCTTCTGGTTATCCCACAGGGTTCTATGTGACTCTGGTAGTAAACCGATGGTGGAACCAGTTTGTGAATCTGCCTTGGCCGGACAGGCTCATGTTCCTCATCTCCAGCAGTGTCCACGGGAGCGACCAGCATGGGCGCCTGCTCAGAAGGACGCTGATGCGCTACGTCAACCTGACCTCCCTGCTCATCTTCCGCTCGGTGAGCACAGCGGTATACAAAAGGTTTCCGACCATGGACCACGTGGTTGAGGCAGGTACGGTGCACGCTTTCTTCTCATGGGCTCAAGATAGGGTGTCTGTCAGACGTAGGAACCACCAAAATACTCTAGAAAGTTACCGAAGTGTATTCCGTTAAGAAATGTTTGTGCGTTGTCTCCTGTGTGCCAGAAGAATTCTTAAAGGGCAAAGATGAGGAAGGTACGATTCCTGCCCTCAAGAAGTGTACTTGGGAGGCAGAGGAGAGAAGTAGCCGCAAGTCTATGACGTCTTGAGATAAGAGCAATGATGGTAGTCACGGCCATTAAAGCAACCTGTCCTATGTTTACTTTTCCAGGACCATATGGTGATTGTTTTCATTTTATTCTGAGTTTTTTTTTCTTTGCCTTGTTTTCTGTTGTGACTTTTGTCTTTGAGACAAGTTATCATTGTGTAGCCCAGGCTGACCTTGCACTCACTGTAATCCTCCAGCCTCAGCCTCCCTGGCCGTGATTGGGGGGAGGATTACAGATGTGAACCAAGTGCCCAGTTTATAGCTATCAATTATCTTAAGACGTCATGAAAACAGTAAAGAAGTTAAAGAGATTTCAAGCTGTCCTGAATCGCATAGCTGGTTAGTGAAAGGTGCAGAATTAAAATCCAGGTTCAGGAGCACAGTGATGATGTCTGTGTTTTGAAGCAAAGTCAATTCTGGAAGGAATCTGCATGCCAGTTTTTATCCAGGTAAACCCTCCCCAGATGTGGTCGTCAAAGGCTCTCTCGGGATGGACCTGTCTCTTCAGGGCTTTATATGGTTTCTTGGATCTAGCGTGCTGAGGAGGAGTCACATATGAAGGATGGAGCTCTGGGCTATGTAAATATTTAACAAAGAAGCTGTAAAACCAGCCTTCAGTGGCGTGAGGATTAAGTGAAGTCACTCTTGGCCCGTGTCAATGATCTGAGCACTCAGAGAGCTCTGCCTCCATTTAGGCTACAATCTCAAATCAAATTGTATGTGACCTCCCGTTTCCTCTTTCTTCTAAGAAGAATATTGTTGTTTTGTTGTTGTTATTGTTTTGGGGTTTGGGAGGGAGACTGTTTTTTTTTTTTCCAACACAGGGTTTCTCTGTAGCTTTGGAGCCTGTCCTGGAACTAGCTCTGTAGACCAGGTTGGCCTCAAACTCAGAGATTTGCCTGCCTCTGCCTCCTGAGTGCTGGGATTAAAGGTGTGTGCCACCAGCAGCCGGCTATTGTTTGTTTTTTGATTTGTTGGCTTTTTTGTTGTTGTTATGTGTGTATGTGTGTGCGTGTGCATGGTATGTGGGGGTTTTATGGGAGACACAGATAATGACTTAGGGTTGGAATTCTGACTCCACTATTCACTACATAGTTTAGGTCGTTAGCCTTTCTGTGCCTCAGCTTCCTCATCTATAAAATGGGCTTATGCTAACATCTATGTTACATACCTTGTAGGTTCACTATGAAAACTAAGTAAGTTAACAGTCACAAAGTGATCTGAGCAATTCCTAGCACCTGGCAAATACTATGTCATTTCTCATAAAGGAACCGTCTAGAACAGCATAGCACGGCATTTTCGTCACTTCGAAAGTCTCCTTGAATCTACGACATCCCGGGTATTTTTGATCTCTTTTCACCATGAGATTGAGAAAGTTGGGGTGGAGAAAGAAAGCAAGGATGCTATGTGAGAAAATTGTGGGGTGCAAGAAATCAGTGGAGGAGCCAGGCAGAAGCTTGAGTAGCCTGGCAGATACACAGGTGTATTGTATGTAACACCAGGAACCAAAACCAAATTAACTGCCCCCCTGTCCTCCAAAGGTAAAGATAGGATACCGCCTGAGAATAACTAACCTGAAACACCCCTGGGAAACTTCAGTTTCTTACCCTAATACTCAAGGAATAAAGATATTAAGAATGACTTGCTCTGAAGAAAAGTAGAAAAACAAGCAAGGAAAGTTAGGATGAACGGAAGTGCCGCTTCTCCAGTTCTGATGCATCCTGGCTCTGCTCGGCCTCTTTCTTAAAACAAATCACACCCTCTTAGTGTGAGCTTTATATTAAATGAGCATCCAGAGGAGCCGGGCCAGCCAGCAATAGAGAAGACTTTGGGGCCTCTGGTCAGACCTGAGCTGCCAGGACTGAACTGGACCTGGGTTGGCAGGCAAGTGAGCAAACCGGGTAGCAGGAGACTGGTGTGACTTTGTTTTCTTTGGGTGTGTTAACACACTTGTGTAAATGGCTGACACTTGCAGCCAAGCTTTTTTCCTTTCTAAGGTATCTGGGGTGTTGGATTTTACTTCTCTCCCCACTCCCCATACCCCTACCACTCCAAGGGAATCTGAAAAATGAGAGTCATTCACTCACCGGCATGCACTCAGAGTCGCGTGTCTGGAACCCCAGTCCGGAGAGCCACAGACCTCGGCTGATGGCGGAGAGATGGGACGCTTAAAAGAAGTCCCACACTAGCTCAGAACTGAGAGACAGATATTTATTTAGGGGGAAAACTTAACAAATCAGGATTCTCTGCTTGAACGGCGGGTGGAGACGGGATCCGAAACAAACCGAAGGAGCAAACGGGAACCAGGTGGGGGAGGAGAAAAGGGGCGTGTCCAGGTACCTAGTGTAAAAGGCCACGCCCCAGTAGGCGGGTAATTACCGGCTGTAAACCTTCCTGAGCCTTTAGAAGTGCTGCTTAGACCCCTTCAGTTAAACACGTTTCCTTCCAAGTCTCTCCTTCCTCTTTGTATAAGACACTGTTGTCATGTGTCCCAGCCTTGCCTGACTTGGTACTCCTTCTGCCTCAGCCTCCCTGGGGCAGGGATCCAAAGTGCGCCTCTCCAGTCTCGGCTCCAAGTCATTGTCCACACACTGACGTTGCAAAGTCCCGACTCTTTTAAGGAATATGTTAAAAACAAAACCAAACAAGCAGCAGCAACATCTCTTTTTCTGATTCCTGGAGGGTGAGGGGGAATCTCCTGAGGAGAGAGAGTCGTTGTTACTAACAAAGTACCGACCATGAAGATGGAGTAGATTCAGACTGTGGGTTTACCAGTGACTGCCGAGTTCAAAGTTAAGTTTGAGTCACTTGTTTGTGCATAGCAAGCATAGTTCTGGCTTAAAATTTTTAGTTTCTTTGGACTGGCTGAAAGAGTCAGGCACTAGGAGGGATTGGATGGAGCTCAAAATCTTTCTCAGAGCCCTTAAACCCATGACTCAAAACCTTCATTCAAAGGCCTTGTTTATCCTGAGGCAGGGGTCTATCCCAGAGGCTGTGGCGAATGGATTGTCTCAAGTTCAAGGCCAACCCGAGTGGGTTCCTGACCAGACAGGACCACTTAGCAGGAGCACACCTCAAAAGACGAAACAAAAGTAAAGGGGCAAGGGTTGTCCTTTAGTTTCCATGTGCTTTTTGTAGGAAGAGCAGAGGACACGGGTTATGCTCAGAGGAATGTAAACATGTGCACAGCGCGTACATGATCTCAGGCCTGTGTGTCAGGTGGCCACCGAGCTGCAAGAACGGCCCCAGAGCCCGGCATTTCCTGCTGCCCCAGCCAGCACGCTCTGTCCGCAGCATTGCTGACTCACGCAGTGTCTGGCTCCTTCCCCATCCAGAGGGCTGACTCAGTCTCATCCAGGCCCTGTTTCCAAGTTGTGCCACTGGACACACACCTCCGCTACTCCCTAACTGCTTTCCGCCTGTGCCAAGGGTTCTGGGAGGAATAGAAGTTGGAGATGGTGGAAAACGTTTGGCAGATGTCCTGAGTCTAGAGCCAGGGCACCTACTCCTGCCTAAGGGGATACAGGACTCATAACTATGCCACTACCCTGCATTGTAGGGGGCAAAATAAGTGGGGTGATGCTGAGGACATACACACTCCCTCCCACATATACACACATATACACATGCACACACATATATACACACATAAACACACATATAAAACATACAAACATATATACACACACAAACACAAATATAAGCACACATACATACAAAGATACACATACATGCAAACACACAAATACACAATATAAACATACATACATACAAACATACACATAAGCACATATAAACATACAAACACACATATATGCACACATACATACAAATATACACATACACACAAACACAAATACACACACATATAAACACATACATACAAACATACATGCAAACACATATAAACACACATACATACAAACATACACACAAGCACACATACATACAAACAAACACACATGTAAACACAGACATACACACCTCATCTACTGACTACCCTACTTAAAATCACTATGAGAAAAAGTTATGTTTTTAGAAGTTGAGTATACATCAGCCACTCTCAAAACCAATGCTGAAAGATGTCAGTGCATCTAACAAGCTCCTCTAGACAGTGGTAAGGGGCCCCAATCACAGGCTGCGAGATACTGAGATTTAAGTCCGTGTCCTCTAAAGCTCTTACCCCAAGGACCTGCACAGCCTCCATGCGGGGCAGGAGGAGGCAGGTGAGGGGTGGGAGCACGGAGCACGGAGCAGCTTCCTCACGTTCAGCAAAGCTTAGGCTGGAGCCAAACACTGCAGGCCCTTCCCTGCCGGTCTCTGAACCTCCTTTGTTTTGAAGTTCAACGGTCACATTCTATCATTCTGAGGTGTAGAAGCATGCTGCATGCTTTGAGAAAAATATATCTCATTTGTTGTCATCTCAGGTTAAATTCTCAAATTAAAAATAAAAAGCTTTCTCCTTCTGCTTCTACTAAAATCAAACTCAAAATAAGTCAATTCCGCTGAAAAGCCCCTGAAGTGTGGACTGTCCTGTATTTATCAGAGGGACTACAAGAGAGGCTCTGCTAAACTTGTTCCGGAAAAATTCTAGTCATTCAGATCACCTGCCCTGGAAAATGTCACTCACTCCAAGTCAAGTGCACCATCCTGGATCTTCGCTAACTTGGGCCATGACCTTTGTTGACTGTTTACATTTTAGAACCCAGCTGAATCCAAATCTTTCAACTAACACTTCACAAGTCTCAGAGAAGAAAATAGTTCTCGTCAACGCTGCTCATCAGAAGCGCAAAGACAGAAATAGAAAAATTACAGTCATGCTCTGAGAGAACCAGGGACAGAACTGCCAAGGACTAGCGGGCATTTGCCCATTCTGTGAAATTTCCTGGGGCCGGGAACACAGCTGGTTGATAGAGAGCCTGTCCCAAAGCTCTGGGTCTCATCCGCGGCACTGAAGAAGTCAGACACGGAGGCTTGTGCCTGTAATCCCAGCACTGGGCAAGCAGAGACAAACCGGGGCTTTAGGTTATCTTCTGCTACATCGTGAGTTTGAGGCCCGCCTTAGGCACATGATGTCTGAAAGCTAATTAATTAACTAGTTAATTAATTAAAAAATAAGAGAATGGAAAGATGGCTTGGTGATTAAGAGCACTTGCTGTTCTTTTGGAGGACCCAGGTTTGATTCTCGACACCACGTGGTGGCTCACAACTGTCAGTAACGCTAGATCTCCCTAGAGAATCCAGCGTCCTCTTCTGGCGTCCATGGGCACCAGACATGCACATGGGGCACATACATACAAGCAAGAATTTATATGAATAGATAAATAGATAGATAAACAAATACATAGATAAATCTTCTTTTAAGTAAAAATAAAGTAGAGTTGAACACGTAGCATGTACCAGGCACTGGGCTGAGCAGAGGGAACATAACCTCAGCAAGGATATAATGGTCCTGCTCAAGGGTCAGTAACAGTTACCATAAGTTTTGTCCCACACTAATGATTTTCAGAGACAAGTTACAACTGAACTTCATGTCTCTGTATTGTATTTCTCTCTCTTCCTCTGAAGCGAAAGTCTTCCTTTGGTGCTCAGTTAGTAAGAACGATTTAAACATGATAACCTTAAAGAAAGGGGTCGCTTTTATTTTTGTTTTTCTTTTTGGCAGCAGCGGAGGCTGGGGTGGGAGTGAGGTTCGTGATAGAGGTTTTCTGTGTAACAGTTCTGGCCCTCTGTAGATCAGGCTGACCTCAAACTCACAGAGATCTGCCTGCCTCTGCCTCTGTCTCCCGAGTGCTGGGATTAAAGGCGTGCGCCACCACCACCCGGCTCATTTACTTTTTTCTTAAAGCCCTGGAACCTTAACCAAAGTCCCCAGGCTTTTCCTTGAGACTGGTGGAGCCTGGGGAGACTGCCCTGGAGGTTTCAGTCACTGCCTCACATGGCATAAAACACAAGTGAGCACTGGGCTGCCGAATGACTGTTGAGTAGAAACCCTGATTTAAGATGCACCAGCCACAAGGCTAGCCCCTTGGATTTTGTATATTTATCCCTTCAGCTCGCTGTCATTTTCTTGGGCGTGTTCCTGGTTCTCGGGCTCCCTGGGCTGTTTAAGTGTCTTGGTGTCCTGTGTTAGGAGGAGAGATGGCCAAAGGGACAGTGGAATTCACGCCTGCACCGGCTTCCGCCATTGGCTGAACCTTTAGAGGCTGAGTCAGATATTCCTGTATTGTCACCTGATGAGCCCGAGCAGACAGAATGTCATCCTGTGGGGGAAACCTGGCTCACCATGTGCACTTCTTGCTCCACACAGGAGGCAAAGTGCAAGGCGGAACTGGCCCTCCTTGACCTGGCTGCCACCAGTGGACAGCCTCCCGGGTCCGTGACCGAGGACAGTCTATCTGCCCAGTATTTCTGATAATGGGATCCCTGTCATTGAATTGTCAAGAGATTTTGTTGTTGTTGTTGTTAAGTCAGGATTTTACCATGTGTCCCAGGTGTGTGCCACCATGCTGAGCCAGGCTCTTTTTGTACTTGTGGTCTGTTTATTTGCTTGCTTGTTTGATTTGAAACAGAACCCTGCAGTGTAGTCTGGGTTAGCCTGGAACTCAATAGGTAGCCCAGGCTGACCTGAAACAAAGGGCAATTGCAAATGGCCTCAAATCTGTTAAGTAAATGAAACTCAAGGGCACCCACTTAGGCAAGGAGCTAAAAGCGCTAATTGTGTGTATGTTATTTCGTGTGTGTGTGTGTGTGTGTGTGTGCACGTGTGTCATTGTATTTTATACAGTGACCTGTCAAATGGAATATCTACTTCCAGATGGAGAGATGGGTGACTACAGATATTTTGGTCATTTTGGGGAAATAACAGAATAGCTCTTCAGTCAGTATTGCCATCCCAAAAGTTGATTTTACTCTGTTGTATCCTATTCTAGGCTTTTGATCAATGGGCTGTAACTCATTGTTGGGTTAATGTTCTTAAATCATTTAAAAAAAAAACTTCTGAGCATTATGTTGAGTGGGATTAAATGGGGAGAACTCAGGAGAGAGTGGAGACAATACTATCTTGCATAGTACCCAGTAAACATAACGTAGAAGAAAGCACAGTTATTTTTGAACCACACATGTCTCATGGTCTGATGCCTTGCCCTGCACAACAATGATGTGACTTGATTCTAGCTCTGTCTCCTTCTCACTTTGCACCTCCTCAATTTCCCCGCTTGATGGGGATCCCTAAGCCTCTCTCATTGTATTTAAAGGGCATCTCTAGTTGAAGCGCTGTCTCTGTTGTATGCATTTGGAAATGAGTCAGAGACGTTGAACTCTGCTTGAAAAAGTTGTCCCAAGATGCTGAAAACACAGCTTTCTCTTAGAGGAAGAACTGGCATCACGCCCACCCTTGTCTTTGAGCTTGGAGCTGTGGTTCCTCTGCTAATGGAGCCTCTCTGGAAGGCCAAAGACACCTGCCTCTGCTTCAACCAGAGGACAAACAGGCCAACTCTGCAGCCAACAGATCTGTGATGGCAGGGATCTTGCCTGCTAATGGATTTAATTAGTCCTTTGGCTTAGGGGCATGACAAATTTGCCTTCCTCTAGCAAATCCTGCTCCATCAAACTACAGCTCAAGTGAAGTCAGTGCAAGCATCCCACTCTAAGAATGTGGTATATGGGTATCTTGCCCTGATTAGATATATTAAAAACATTATGATTTAATTAGTCTAATATAATTAGACATATTCAAGTTGTTTTGCACACAAATAACGTGAAAATCACTGGGGCAGAGCTGAACCAGCCAGAAAGAAAAGAGATTGTGAGAGATGTTCTAGGTAGATGCAGTAGCTTTGCCAAATCAGACGCAGGGCCTGAAGGAGAGAGATGTGTGGCCATAGGATGGTGGTAGAGCAGCCGAATTGCCATTAATTTGTAATGCCATTAAACTATAGTACAGCACAGCAACAGCTATAATTAATTTGCCTTAGATGTGAGGATAATAAAATTTTTATAAAGTTTAAAGCATTGGTGCCTAGTTACAATGACCTGAAAGGCTGATGAAGATAACATTCCACTTCATAGCTAGCGCCCCTTAAGTGGATTTGAACCCCCACCTAGTCTAGAGCTTTTGTTTCAATTGACCATCAATTTGATTTCCGAAATCGGGTGACTTCCAATGTTTGAGCCACCAGGAAATGCCTGGAGTCATCCCGTCTGTGTACGGGGACGATGCGCTAAGCTCTGCTGCTTCGTTCATCTCCCCTAGAACCTGTTAAATTATCAATAACTTTGGGCTGAAATAAAACTTAAAAATCACCAGCTTTCTTTCCTTTGCATGGCCCTTCCCATCCATAAATGTCCTTCCCGGAGTGCAGGACCCGGCTCTGGCTTTAGTACTGGCGCTAACCAAGGCCTCGACCTGCATATTTACTTTCTGCTTAGATGCCAAGAAAGGACTTGCTAGCACAATGTGATCTGGAATAAAAAATAGCCAGACACAAAGTTGTTCCCTAGCCAAATTACAGAAATTGCAGCCAGTCTGTAAGTGCGGTCATCTTTCTTTATTTTTTTTTCTTTTTTGATTCTAGAATTGCACTCTAAATCCCAAGAATCTAAGTGTCAGACAATTGATATGGAGTAGCTAAGATAGGCTTCCAGTTAAAGGAGGGACAGCTGTGGCAAGCCTTTACGCCCGAAGTGAAGAAAAGCCAAGTTCATGTGTTAACTGTTTGATAAAACACAAGAGACAGTTTGTTCTTAAGCCGAATAGGAGAGGTGAGGGCCTTGGAACGCAGATCCAGGTTGCCCCAAGACACATGTTCCACAAAGAAGGGAAAATTTCACTGGTTATAGAACAAAGAAATTCATAACCCGAGGTTAACTTCCTATAATAGCATTTAATCATGCTCTGTAAGCCCATTTTTAAAAGAAAAGGTCAGGGTCACAGACTAATTTATGGAATGTATATATATATACATACAACATACACATATGTATACGCACATACATATATATGTATACACACACACATATATATAGGGAATTTATTGTAATGACTTATCGTATGTATTCCAACTAATCCAACAATGGCTAGCCATGAATGTAAAGTCCAAGAATCTTTGGTGTTCGAACCCACGAGGCTGGGTGTCTGATGCCTCTGGCTTTGGAGGGCACCTGCACACACACGCAAGGACACACATAATTAAAAACAATAAGAATAAATCCTCCTTCAATGTTCTTTTATTAAATTGTTCCTCTCCTTTACTTGTGCGGGGAGAGAGAGAATGAAGGAGGGACCCAGATACAGTATCAAAGACACACTATTCCCTAGCACTGAGTGTGCTAAACTCTTCATGTATGTTTAGCATCTCAGGTAACACCCCCCCCCTCTTGTGTGCCTTTCTGATGTGCGATGCTGGCTTTCACAAGATAGGCAAGCGCTCTACCACTGAGTCTAGCCCCAGTATCATCGTCGTAAAGCAGATATTACAGAGGAAAACGCTGAGGCTTAGGGAGGTCTCTGGAAACCCAAGCTCATTGCATTTTTTAAATATTTATTTATTTATTATGGATACATTATTCTGTTTGCATATATGCCTGCAGGCTAGAAGAGGACACCAGACCTCATTACAGATGGTTGTGAGCCACCATGTGGTTGCTGGGAATTGAACTCGGGTCCTTTGGAAGAGCATGCAATGCTCTTAACCGCTGAGCCATCTCTCCAGCCCCGCTCATTGCATTTTTATACACACACGTTTCAAGAATTTGTGCAAAGTAGTGTGGGGACTAAAAAGACAAATGTGGTCCTTGCCTTTCATTTATGTACAATGTCACTGTACTCCACGTCAAGACAGAGCGCCACATGGAAGCTTTAGATTAGAGAAATCCCTGGAAGGGAGAAGGAGGAATGAGAGATGGGCTTCGCAGAAGGGGATGCAATGGAGCAGGATGCTGATGGAGAAGGCAGGAGGCACAGCCGCAGGAATCACGCAGAAGGGGATGCAATGGAGCAGGAGGCACAACTGTGGGAATCACACACAACTCTTGCTACGAGCTCCGTATACACTCTCGAATTTTAGTCTCTTAGCCCTCACAATTCTAAGTATTATTGCTGCCGATTTAGATTAATAAATCTAAAATTGTAAAGGAGAGACTTCCCTAGATATGCTAGATCAGGGCTCTTAAACTCCATTCAACAACCCCCTTTTACAGAAGACATTTTTATGACCACTTATGCATATGGTGCTATAAAATAGGTATAACAGCAAACAGTTACTGAAAATAAATTGTGAAGAAATTTACTTGGGATAGCACAATGGCCCAACAGGTGAATAAATGCCTCTGCCACCAAGCCTGGCAACCTGAGTTTTATCCACAGGAGCCGTGGAAGGCGAAAGCTAACCCCTGAAAGCGGCCCTTTAAGCCCCACACACATGCTGCGGTACCAACACACATACACACATGAATAAATCTAATTTTGAAACTTTTATAATAGAAATTTATTTTAATGCAGTTTTCTGATGTACATAAATTTGACTTGTTATTACAAGTGAACGAATTAATTCTAAAGGTGAAAGGTGAAAATAAACAACAGCTATAGCTCAGCTGGACCACCTGCCTAATGCACCCAAAGCCCTGGGCTTGACCCTCGACACCACATAAAAACAAACAAACAGACAAACAAACAAACACAGCCACAGTGACTGTAATCCCAGTATGTGGAACATAGAGCCAGAGGATCAGCACCATACTGAGTTTGAGTTTGAGGTCAATTTGGGCTACATGTCTCCCTATCTCAAAAAAAAATGATGGTGGAAGTCGGAGAGATGGTTCAGTGGTTAAGAGCACTTTGCTGCTGAGTATAAGAGAACCAGAGTTGAGGTTCCAGCACCCACAAAGGGTGGACAAGCACTTGTAACTACAGTTCCAGGGGACCTGGCCACCATGCAAACTCGCATCTACACATATGTAATGTATAGCCACAGATAACACACATATAAATAAAGTAAAATTGTTTTCTTTAAAAGAAAAGCAAAATTACATATAAATGAGACAATGGGCTTATTTATTTTATATGCATAATTAATTATTGGTCAAATATTTGGTAGTGCATGACATCTTTGGCTTTTTCAGAGTTATTGATATTCTGATTTTGTAATCATCAAATTTATTAGAATGCCACTTCTAATAAACATATAGCATAAAACAGCAGAAGCATGTCTAGGGCCATCTCAAATGCTGATGGAGAAGGCGGGAGGCACAGCCGTGGGAATCATGCAGGAGGAGATCCGTGATTGGAAATTCTGTACTAATCCGGAGACAAATTAATTTAACATTTTAAAAAATAAAACAAATCAACAATTCAAATGGCAATTTTAAAATCAAACACTTTAATGTAATACAATTAACTCAAACAGGAAAATATTGTTTTTGCTTTCTGTAATTAAACCATTATGTTTCTATAAAAGCAGAATGCTCTATGTGGCTAGTGAAGGCATTGCCACTTCTAGTACAACATAGTCTCGACTCCGAGATGCTTGAGGCCGGGTCTGTCGGTGTTGTGTGGCAACAAGTTATGTTGAATGCTGGGTGGTGGTGGCACACACCTTTAATCCCAGCACTCGGGAGGCAGAGGCAGGAGGATCTCTGTGAGTTCGAGGCCAGCCTGGTTCCAGGATAGACTCCAAAGCTACACAGAAACCCTGTCTTGAAAAAAACAAAAAAAAAACAAAAAACAAAACAAAAAAAAAAAGGCACAGTGAGTCACTTTATAGGCAACTAGCAACACCTTGGATTCATTATACGTTTGATCTTGAATTAATTTCTGGTTATTGTATGTTCAAAAATCCGTTACCAATAGTTCACAACCCACATTCAGCTATGTGACTCTAAAGGGGGCTATGCCTCGCATTTTAAGAATCTGTGTCCCAGATGCATGTGTCCCCTTTCTTACCTTTACCATCAACTTGCCAAGATGATGCATTGCTTCACAAGTGGAGATACAATGTGTGTGCAATTTGTGTGTGTCCATGCACACAGCTCGGGTGCAAAACTCTTCATCTCTAGCACAAACGGAGACCACTGGAGACAATAGTATTTTTTAGCACCCTCCGTTACCCCAGTATGCTCATATAGAATACTAAAATTATGCATTAGGCTTAACTAAGCGTGTATAACATCCCTATTGTTATTTTGTGTAAAGGTTTTATGACAGCAGATGAAAGGAAATTATTTGACCACCTCAAATCACCACATCTGAAATACTGGGTCCCCTTCATTTGGTTTGGGAATCTTGCCACCAAAGCCCGGAATGAAGGTAGAATCAGGGACAGCGTCGACCTTCAATCATTGATGACCGTAAGTATTTAGTAAGCCACGAGAAGATGCTAATTGGAACTCTGGATGTAAGAGGTCAGACCAGGGGTCACTCCAGATTCTGCGGAGCTAGGAAGACGGTGGGAAACCCACAGTGTGCAGAACAGAGAGTGAGCAAGGTGAGCTCAGGCTCCTTGGAAGCGTCTACTGTCGGCACTGCATATTCTGTGAGAGGCTTGTAGGGAAATGGTAAAGCCAGGATTGCCAAAGACTCTGAAGAGGCACATCGCCCATGGGCCTTCGCGACCGCTTGCATAAGGATTCTAGATTAAAATTCCTAGTTTTCTTTCTTGGTGATGGGATGAATCCCCGGCACCCAGAATAAAATCCTAAGGAAGAATAAACTTTAACCTTTCCCCCCAGATTTGAATACTCTAACCTTAAATCAGCCTTTCTGTTGCTCCAGGGAACAAAACAATGTATTGCTGAATAAAAGACAAGATCGCCTGAATAAATTGGGAGCGTGGGGGTCACAGGAGAGGGTAGAAGGGGAGAGGAAGGGAGGAGAGCGGGGGAATGTATAGCTCAATAAAAACAATTAAAGAAAAAGGTCTCGGGATTCATCAGAGAAATGTATACACGGAAAGTCTTCTGTGACAGCTCTGATGGTCTCTGGCTTGAATGAGGCTAAAATGAGTAAATGGCTTTCAAATTGAGGTAATATTAGATTCAGTCTCATATGGATAAGGCAAGAGATGGATGACTCTCCATCCTCCCTGTTACAGATAGATGTTTCTGTCGATAGAAGCATTTTAAAGTCCCAGTTTGCTGGGCAGAAGGCTTAGCATGTATTCATGTGTCTTCTCTAATATCTGTCATAAGAATGTTTTTAAGGAAATAAAAAATGCTTGCCAAATTTATACCAAAATAACCAGTAATTACTTATTTAAAATAGTAACCTTCTTAGCTCCCTTTGAACACTTGGGGCCAGTCTATACATTGAAGAGAGTGGATTAGAAAAACAAGTTTATCCTTATAACATTCTATCTTTTCTTAAGAATATTTTTAAATGTTTATAAAATATTTATATTTTTATATTTTAAAAAATTATGTCCAAATGTCCTCATCATTTTACTTTCTTTTTGACAAACTGCTCCATACTGTATCCTTTGCTTTTTTTTTTTTTTTCTGTTGTTTTTTTGAGACAGGGTTTCTCTGTGTAGCTTTGGAGCCTGTCTTGGAACTCACTCTGTAGAGCAGGCTGGCCTCGAACTCACAGAGATCCGCCTGCATCTGTCTCCCCAGTGCTGGGATTAAAATGCCTGGCTTTCTTTTTTATTCTCAGGACTTTCCTTTCAGAGGAGCCTTGGGGACAACTTAGAAAGTTGGCCTTAGCATTTACTGCCATGTTCATCAATAGCGTGCCCAGGTTCTGAATCCCAGCTCATGTTTATAACTGTGGTCATCGTTTGAGTAAAGTGTGTTTTCATGTTTTGGGCTTAGGAGATGAATCGGTACCGCTCCTGGTGCAGCCTCTTATTTGGCTATGACTGGGTTGGCATCCCGCTGGTTTACACACAGGTACCAAATACTGCGCGTGTGATTGTGGTGGTGGCGGGGACCAGAGGATGGGAATCTGAGGTCGACCTTGGGTGTCATTCCTCTGAAGCCATCCACTTTATTGATTTATTTATTTAGAGATAAGATTGCTAACTGAGACCTATACCTTGCCATCTTTCATTTAAACTTGCCGGCCAGTGAGGCCCCAGGATCTATTTATCTTCACCCCTTCCCCAGAATTGGGGTTACAGGAACAAGCCACCACTCCTGTCGTTTTATACGGGTGCTTCTAATTGGACTCGGGTCCCCATGCGCGGGCTACAAGTACTTTGTTGACCGAGTTATCGCTCCACATCCCATGCATGTGGCTTTTTCACCCCCACCTGTCCACTTTGCATAGTTTCTGTGAGCAGCTAGCACTGACCCCTCCCTCGGGTCTCCCTCTGTCCCAGGTGGTCACCCTCGCGGTCTACACGTTCTTCTTCGCGTGCCTCATTGGACGGCAGTTCCTGGATCCCACCAAAGGCTACGCGGGCCATGACTTAGATCTGTACATTCCGATCTTCACCCTCCTCCAGTTCTTCTTCTACGCGGGATGGCTCAAGGTAGTCCACAGTCTTGGTGCCCAAGGCACTCTAGAACCCTCCTTGTTCCAAACTCTCTTCCCTCTGCCGAGTCTTTGACAAATCATTCATGCATAACTCAAAGGTAGACGTGATGGTGTAATAGCTCAGAGATGTGGTTGCTTCTCCATCAAGGTCAAAGTTCTGGGTAGAGAGGCTGGGGTGTAGCAGTTCATCGTTCATCGCGCGAAGAGATGAGAAGGACGTTTCTCTCACAGATAGTGATTTTTCTTCAAGTCTCTGTGTGCGTCCATTAGGCTGAAGTAACATAATTAAAGTAACAGCTGCACCTGTGCTGGGTTTTAGGCACAGCTGGGCAGAGGAAACAACGGGGGAAAACATCAGCCGTGGAGCAGACCTGAGCTTTAATACCGTAATAGAAGCCTGGTTCTGCTCCACTCCGTGAATCATAAGCAACCCCCCGAGTTCCACTAGCTGTCCCCACACGTTAACTACATTCCATTTTCAAAAAAGAAGCTCGTCGGGATTAAAAGCAGAAACGTCAGGATTAGCAGTGACATGCAGTTTACCAGGAATCTAAAAGCATGCCAGAGCCGTGAGGACAGCTCGTCCAGTCACGGGTATGGAACCGTGTTTGTTCCCCTGACCCCCACCAATCCCAAGCCTCCTGAGGTGTCAGTGTGTATATATCAGAAGCTTGACTCTCCATCCCTTGAAGTATGTGACAGGAAAAAAAAAAAAGTCAAAAGCAACAGTTTCCTTAAGTAAAGTGAGATCCAGCAATACTTTCAAGGAGTCTAACAAAACGGAATTTCCAACCACTTGGCCTTCCAAAGAGCCACCTATGGTCAGGTCTTAGGGTTGGGACACATTCCCCTGCAAATACTGGTTCTCTTGTTGGTTTGACGCTTCATAAGTGTGTTGGCACTTTAAATTATACTCCAGTGACGAACAACATGTCCTTTAAATGGCAAAAATATTTTTAAGCAGATGACAGTGAGAAAGAGCAAGAGAGATAGCTGGCTCTCTCAGAGGGAAAAGTGGGCTTTACTTTATCAACACGACTGCAGTCGCCACAGTTGATCCGAATGCTCGACTCTCCTGTCATGCAGTTCCTTTCTGGCTGGTTTTGTCTCTTCCCTTTTCGTGCTGAACTCAGTAACTGTCTGACTGCTTTGTTTACCTATAAAATGCCTGGCTGAGCCATAAAGAGGTTCGTGGCTCCATTTTTGGTAAAGTGTCTAAATTCCTTTCCTCTATAAACTGTTTTCTATTCTTTTCTTTTCTTTTTTATTCCCTTTGAGACACGGTTTCCCTGTAGCTTAGGAGCCTGTCCTGGAACTAGCTCTTGTAGGCCAGGCTGGTCTCAAACTCACAGGGATCCACCTGCCTCTGCCTCCCGAGTGCTGAGATTAAAGGCGTGCGCCACCACCGCCTGGCTGTAAACTGTTTTTCAAAGGCCAAATATGAAAAGACACAAGCGTGGCCTATTCAAGATAAGTCAGCATAATAAAAGTGCAATTCCCACGCAAGTGGACTGTGTCTCCATTTGCAAAGAACAGCTCTATCCAAAGTGTAGAAAACACACCTTGACTTTTCTTACTGCAAATGGTGCTCCAGTAAAGTCATCTTCGTGACATGTTCAATACACAGATGTGTCATTATGACTACTAAATACAGGCTGCAATAATATATACAAGACCGATGCTATAAACGTGAAAAGTATGAACATAACAAAAATATTTTCAGGTCTGAAACAATGGCCTATTTCATTTAAGCAAAACCTCAGGCAAGAAAAGGAAAATAGCCTGGCACCAAACAATGAAGGACTTCCAAAGCTACTGCCAGGAGGCTCACTAATGTAGGACTCCCTGTGCTGTGTGTGTGTGTGTGTGTGTGTGTGTGTGTGTATGTGTGATACACATGTGAGTTTGCAGGGTATATACCCTTCTGAATGTATGTACAGGCCAGAGCACAAAGTTGAGAGTTTCTCTTCTTCTTCCTTCTCCTTCTTCTCTCTTCTTCTTCTTCTTCTTCCTCTTCCTCTTCCTCTTTTCCTCCCTCCCTCCCTCCCTCCCTCCCTCCCTCTCTCCCTCCCTCCCCTATTGCCTTGAGACAGGGTTTTTCACTCAATAGGAAGCTTATCATTTCACTAGACTACTTGGGCCAGGAACTCTCAGAGTCTACCTGTATCCATCCCTACATTGCTGGTGTTACAGACATGTTCACCCATGCCTGGCTTTTCACCTGGGTGCTGGGGGCTTGAACTCAGGCCCCTGTGTTTGCTGCTTAAGCACCCTTACCCACTGAGACATCTCCCCAACCCCAAATGGGTAAAGTTTTCACCAAATGGTCTCAGGATCTAGAAACTAATGAAACAATACCTTTATTTTGTTCACTTAAAAATTTTCTTCCCATCTGGAACCAATACTCCCCCCGCCACACACATACACACACATTCACAAGTAAAAAAAAATTGTTCAAAGAGGTTATATTTGACATATAAGCCTCTCATTTCAAAGGCTATTCCATCCAAAAACATGGTATGAATATTTAGTACAGAGCAAATGTCAGATGTCATGGTCAGAAAGTGGTTAAATGGTTCAAAGGAGAACAGAACTAACTATTAGATAAGGGTGAATCTTGAATGTAAAACTAGACTAGCCTCCAGTTCCAGCTCTCATGTGCAGTCACTTAGCAGTTATGTCTCGTAGCTGGCTATTGGGCATCATTGTTCATGTCTCATCATTTTGTCTTTCATTGCCGTTTAACCTCATGTCATCAACTGGGCCTTTACAGGCTTCTCAAAAGCTCAGACGATATAATATATGCCTTGCATGTAGTTAATGGTCTTTAGTACTCAGCTTCCTTTGGCTCCACAAAGCTTCTGGCTTCCCTGGGGTAGGGCAGCGCTGTCTAGATGAGCAGACGGGTCCATCTGCAGAGCATGCCCATGAAGGGGCTTGCTGGACGATCAACATCTGGAGAGCAGCCCACTGTCCTGGAGGATGCGTATTACAAAAGTGACAGGGAAGGGACAGCTAAAGCAGGGGTCAACCTCAGATTCCTCCTCTGTCTTCACACGCACTGTGTTCTCGACTGCAGGTTGCTGAGCAACTGATCAACCCTTTTGGAGAAGATGATGACGATTTTGAAACAAACTGGTGTATTGACAGGAACCTGCAGGTGAGGAACGTTTCTGTCCTCTGTGATCAATAACAATAAATCACATACGTTTCTGTCCTCTGTGATCAATAACGATAAATCACATGTAAATGGATTCTAGGTACAGGCTCCTGGACGTGAGGGGCTTTTTTTGTTTTGGTTTCTTTTGGTTTGGTTTTGGTTTTTCGAGACAGGGTTTCTTTGTGTAGCCTGTCCCGGAACTCCCTCTGGAGACCAGGCTGGCCTCGAACTCACAGAGATCTGCTTGCCTCTGCCTCCCGAGTGCTGGGATTAAAGGCGTGTGCCACCACTGCCCAACTCTGGACCTGAGATCTTCAGCCAATCATGGAAGAAGCCTGACCATACACTGCATTGTTTGTTTCAGGACCTAAAATGGCCTGGGTCTCATTTCCAGCGCCCATTAAGTCAAGATGATTTTCTCTGAATTTTTGTTGGCACCGTCTGTCCTCTTCTGTTTAGTACAGAGTGATATTATAATTCATTTTCTTACCTACTTTGATTTGTCATTGGGAGAGATTAACAGTAACATAAACTAGTATCCAGACATAATCCGCTGTGAATCCCTAAACATAACCCACCAGACCCCAGTAACCAGTTGTATGGGGTGGGAACCGAGGCTGCATTGGTTTCTTCCTTGCATCTGCAGTCATGAATGGAGCCCCTTACTCCGAAACAGTGCTGTTGATAAAGGCTCATAAAGGCACGAGGGAATTCTTTCTAGGGAGGGCTGCCTTCAGAACCTCTGTCTGAGGGCTTTACCCCATCCATCTGTTTGAAGCCCTGCCAGTCTGTCGGGGAAGAAGCATAATGTTTCTCTCTCTCTGTCAAAACTGGATTCCCAGAGGCTTAATGGTTTATTTGTCACTCTACCTAAGCCAAGACAGAGAGGTTGTCACCGTGATACAGGTCTGTTGATACACTACTTTAGCCAGGCCTGGTGGCGTGGTCTGTAATTTCAGCACTTGGGAGCCTGGGAAAGAAGAATTACAAGTTCTAGGGTGGCCTGAGATACGTGCTGAGAGCCTGTCTCAAAGAAGGAAGGAAGGAGAGAGAGGAGGAAGATAGGGCATACAAGAAGTGGTGGGAGACAGAGGTGTGCTTGTTGGTTATAGCTGGGAGAACTGAGTGCCCACCTCTCTGTGCTCTGTGGTGCTGAATGGCGGCTATCCGGGAGCCACCAAGGCAATGCCGTAACTGAGAAACCAAGAGAAAGGAGCCTTGCAGACGATGACATGAAGCTCCGTGCCGAGGCATGTAGGCAAAGGGTGGCCAGGAGGTGCACGAAGACGGACAGCTCCACCCTCCACTTACACCATTGCCCAGAGTTTTTGAGCAGAGAAGGACACATACATGTTCCTGCTACGCCCTCATTGTAGCACGTCTGTCTCTGGGCCTTTGTTTCTCAAACTCGCTTCCACCTGCCGCAAACCCCCCACCCATCTATGCCGCTCTAACAATACGACAACGGTTTTAGGTCTCCCTCTTAGCTGTGGACGAAATGCACATGAGCCTGCCCAAGATGAAGAAGGATATTTATTGGGATGATTCTGCCGCTCGGCCCCCGTACACACTGGCAGCGGCTGATTATTGCATACCCTCCTTTCTGGGCTCAACAATCCAAATGGGGTAAGCGCGTTTTTTTTTTTTTTAATCTTTGATATTTAGGAGAACGTTTAAAAAATGTATGATGTGTATGTATGTATGCCTGTGTATATGATAGAGGAGACATGAGCCGTGTCGTGCACACGGAGGTCAGAGGGTAACTTGGTACAGCCAGTTCTCTCAACCCACCTCTGTGTGGGTTCCCAGGGTCACTCAGGTCATCTGGCTGACACAGCGGGTACCTTTACCCACAGTTATACATGTTTCTGGGGCAGCTGTGAATGACCTTGGAGGCCATCTCTAAGCTGAGTTCCACACATATGTTTAATGAAATATGATCATATCCAGCTTCCATTTTCCTCTCCAACTTCCCCCAATGTCGCCCCAAAAAATCTATCTCCCAACCTCATTATTATTTCTTTTTCTTTCCCTCTCCTCCTTCTGCTTCCTCTTTTCTCTTCAACATCTAATTAATGCTGCCAATATACACAGTAGAACATGGGAAACCTGTCAGCGGCCACAGCCTCAAAAAAAAAAAAAAAAAGTCTCTCTCTCTCTCCTAGCTCAACAGTAGGGGAAGGGCCTTAGAAGCACATCTCCCCTTCATTTGTGCTGGAATTCAGGCTGGCTTTATCCTGTACAGGTCTTGTGGGCTGGCTTTATACTGTACAGGTCTTGTGGGCTGGCTTTATACTGTACAGGTCTTGTGGGCTGGCTTTATACTGTACAGGTCTTGTGGGCTGGCTTTATACTGTACAGGTCTTGTGGGCTGGCTTTATCCTGTACAGGTCTTGTGGTTGTGAAGCAAGTGCGTGTCCCACTGTTGCCCGTGTGCCCTCTCCTCTGCTCCAGCACTGCCCTGGCTCCTGACTCCCCACGTTAGATATCTAACCTCTAGCCTGTAAAGCTATGCTCTCTGTCAGACGACCCCAAATCCTCATAAGTAATGGTTTATGGCACTCTCCTTCAGAAGGGGAGTCTGAAACTCAAAGCCCTTCAAAAGTCAAAGCAAAGAAGGCCTGAAAGTGGGTTATCAGGAGCTGTGGTAAGCGATGAGAGAGAGAGTCAGGCACCTGGAGACTCGTGTAGGTGCCCACCAGCCTAGAGAAGGATGCCCATGGTAAGACAGACTTGCTTCCAAGGCTGGACCCACCCATCCTTCCAGGCCATTACGGTCCTCCTTACCCTAGCCTATTGCTCAGCCTTGATGAAGGGCAGTGGCCTGCTGCTGGCCCCTGTCGGCCTTCCCAGCTCCTTCTCAGTCACAGTTCATGGTCACCTAGCAGCTTCTCAGTTTGGAAAATCAAGTAACGCGTCTTTCTGTGAGTTAACTTTTAGATGATTAAACAGAGAGGAAAATAGCTCAGTATGCTGCTAAGAATTCCTTCTAGTTAGGAATGGAAGAATTTGAGATGTATTGGGTACTGGGAAACTAAACCACTGTGTTGAAAATGATGACTCTTGCTTACCTGTCTGTCTGACAGAACTTCCAAGCATGTTTACCATACTATAATCCCCACTATATAATTATAGAGGCATGCACTGAATATATACAAAGTATCCAAGATGGTGCAATAGATTATACTAGTTCAAATACATGAAGACATATATTACAGCAAAGATCTTACTAAAGGTAAGATCTTTAGATGTATTTCTAGACTGGTTTTTCAGTAATCATTTCTTACTTAGCCCACTATGCTCAAATAGTTATTTTAGCCTTATAAGAAAATACATAGTCTGGTATACATGATTGCATGCTCGTGTTATGAACCACTTAAAAATAGCCCAACTCTTGATCCTATTGCACGTACTGGCTTTGTGGGAGCCTAGGCAGTTTGGATGCTCACCTTACTAGAGCTGGATGGAGGAGGGTGGTCCTCGGACTTCCCACAGGACAGGGAACCCTGATTGCTCTTTGAGCTGATGAGGGAGGGGGACTTGATCGGGGGGAGGGGGAGGGAAATGGGAGGCAGTGGCGGGGAGGAGACAGAAATCTTTAATAAATAAAAAAAAAAGAAAGAAAAGAAAAAAATAGCCCAACTTCTAAGCCACTGACTTCTACAAAATGTACTCTCGGCACATTGATTTTCTTCCCCTTGATTGTACGAGGAAGGCAGGAGAGGCAAGTCTCCCAAGGAGATGGATGTGCACTAAGTTCATCATTTCAGAGCTTGGGGATTCTCCGTCTGCCAGTGTGGGGTCACCTTGCTGCTCAGTCCTTACCTTTAAATGGTATCAGAGGTGTACATAGCGCAGTTCTCTTTTCCAGGGGAACATCTACAGAATATGGTGTGCTCAGGGAGAGGGCTTGGCTGTAGTCTAAGTGGTAGCGTGAAATTGGATATGCCTCGGGAAAGGTGTAGTACACCAAATTTGTCATAAATCCTGCTCTGAACTCTCAAATAGGCCACGAAAGGTGATGGGAAGGTCGAGGTTCTAGTGCAGTTGCCAGCCTAAATGCCTCCCAAGATTCTCTGCTCCTAGAAACTGTCCGCCAGAATGGAGCAGAGGGAAGTCTGGGTGGTCATAATATTCTGGTCATTGAAATGTCCTCATAATCCTTAGCCCCTTGCCTCCCAGCTCAGCGGAGGGTTACTTGTCCATTAGTAAATCTGCAATTGCGGCTTTGACTGTCATTCCACCACGAGTAAGGTCAAAAATAAGAGTGTTCCACTCTAGTGGGTTTGGTACCTCTGTTGCCCAGGTCTCAACTGTTCCTCTGCACAGGCCTGAGCCCTGACAGGTGCTCAGGCAAATCACCAGCTCTTGCCGGTGTAAGCCCCTAACTTTGAGAGCACTGCAGTTTTAAAATAATAAAGCTGACATAAAAAAAATGGAACTCACAATATTAAAGATCATTCTCCTCCACTCCTCATGTCAGTTATGTCAAGATGACTTTTTGCTGTTTGAATTTAAATTGTCCAAACACCACTTCGAAAGTGGAACGAAGAATGGTCGGCGTAAATTACATCACTACGCTAGTGCAGACACCTGTGCAATTAATGACGTCATTATGCTAGCGAGGACAGAGTTGTTTTGAAAAACAAACAAACAAACAAAACCACATTAAGTCCTTCTAAGTCATCTGGCAGGGGCAGTTTTGTTCTTTTTCTTTTTTTTTAAGTTTTGTTCTTTATATATCAGAAACGCCCTAAGAAGTAGGCACTGAGCTGTGGTCTTTGGAAGCCAGGCTCTTGCTTCTTCCTTGTTACAGTAATGTGTGTGTGTGTGTGTGTACATGTGTGTGTGTGTGATTGTTCTGCACACTGAGCAGGCTTCTGAGAAGTCCCCACTGCTCACCCTTAGCTCTGTGGCTGATGGTCTTGTGGGTGTGTGTTCCACAGATGTTTTGAAACACTGGGTTTTGCTATCCATCCTTTCTCAACACTGGATATGAAAACAGCTCCAATGAGCATCATCTGCCCTGCCGCATGCTTTCCCTCCTACCCTTTTTCTCTCTTTCGGAAGCAGCCTGTATAGGACACCTTTCTCCTTCCCGCGTGTCCCCTATTGGTGTATGGGTGACTTAATGGAGTTAGCAGTGTCTAAGGAACGGCACAAACGCAAGGCTGAAAGGCCAGGGCGGACCAGTGCTATCTGCATCTCTAACTCCTGCCATGCAGTCAGCCCTGGGTCCCATCCCTGAAATTCCCAGCTTCTGCCAGCCTTTCCTCTTCCCACACACAGTAAGACCCAATGCCCTGGTCTTACTGTTCAATAGCTGCTAAGTAGTCCTATCCAAGGTTTTTTTTTTAACTGTCTGGGGAAGCTCCCAGCTGCCGTGACAGTTTTTAAAGAACTCTTTCAAAGAAGAAAAAGGACTTTCAGGCGAGCATTATCGCTTCCTCGGGCACCTGGGGACTGCTTCTGAGAGCTGCCAGTGATTGGCAGGATCCCTTTCAGAACCTCTGTTCTTCAGAGCCCTCCTACGCGCGCCACCCTTTTCATCCCCCAAGCGTCCTGGAAGGCAGGGGAAATGTGGCCACTATCAGTTTACCGTGTGTGATGCTAAGTCACAGAGAGAGCCCCGCGAGTCTCCCGACCCTTGCACAGCTAGTGTCAGCCTGGGCAGCAGCATCCTGACTCTCAAGTCCCGGAGTCATTCGTCCTGCTGTTGAAACAAGGCTCCCTCTTCACCTCTGGAAGCTAGTGGCTCCATGGCACTTCCCGTACATGTCCTGTCTCTACCCATCTCAGTCCAATTGAGTTCCGAAACACAAACTGGCCATCCCAAATACGGGGTAACGTAGTGAGAGCGCTCCTGTCCTCTCTTGTAATGCTCTGGCTGTGACTGTTTAAGTGTTTAAGTTTTAGATTTTATTTATTTATTTATTTAATATTTATTTATTTACTATGTATACAATATTGTCTGTGTGTATGCCTGCTGACCAGAAGAGGGCACCAGACCTCTTTACAGATGGTTGTGAGCCACCATGTGGTTGCCGGGAATTGAACTCAGGACCTTTGGAAGAGCAGGCAATGCTCTTAACCACTGAGCCATCTCTCCAGCCCCAAGTGCTATTATTTCTGCACCTCTGGCATGTACTAAAACTACACTTTAAAAATGAAACAAGGGTGCAGGTGTGCTCGGAGTCCCACCCATCATCATCCAGATGTGAAGGGGTCATCCCGGTACTTTGGGAGGTGGAGGCAAGAGGTTCAGTTTGAAGTCTCTCTGCATAGTGCGATCAAGAACAGCCTAACGGGCACTGGACTTTGTCTCAGTTTTATGATATCCGCTTTGATCTTCGGGGCATTCTGTCCTTAAGCTGAGTTTCTATATATCAGAAACACAAGAAGATCAAACCCACGAAAACCATGACTGTGTGAGAGAGGACAGGCGCTGAGTGGCAGCGGCAGTCTTTGGCGCCAGCACTCAGAAGAAAGGTCAATCATTCCCTAACCCCGGGGAGTTGTGCTCGGGCTCCGTCCTGGCACAAAGACCTGAGGACACTTCTTACTTCATCACGGGATACGTGAAACCTCAGGTGTCCTTCCAAAGGTCCAGCTTCAGGCTGGAATTGCGGGACATTTCCAAGGCGTGTTTCCTACCCTATGCATTCATGGACACTGCTGTTCAAGTAGCCTTTCCCGTGCAGGCAATTCCCAAACCACACGATTTCAGCCAGGAGGACAAAGTCCAAACCCTCATAGCATACACCAAGATGATCATCCCAGTTGTGACCAACACCATGCCATTTCTCACCAACTAAAAAGCTTGCTAATTCCCGCTGCCTCATTTGTCTGAGGCACTGCTTTGGCATGGAATGCCTTCATCCCTTCTTCATCTGCACAGTCCAAATTCTTTGCACAAAACTTGCCGGCACAAAAACTTCATTTCAAATGTAAATATTTGTTGGTTTTTTTTTTGGTTTTTTTTTTTTTTTTTTTTTTT